GAAATAGATAGAGAGACAGCTAGATGAATGAATGAATGAATGAATGAATGGATGGATGGATGGAAGGATGGATAGACAGATAGACATATAGATATATAGACAGATGGATGGAAGGATGGATGGATGGATAGACAGCTAGATGGATAGATGGATGGCTGAGGTAAATAAGGAAAGAAAAAAGAAAGGAAGGGAGAAAAGACCAAAGACGGGAAAGGAAGAATGAATGAACGAAAAAGAAAGATGAATGAAGGAATGTATGTATGTAATCCATATAGATATAAAGTACACCCATGTATGCAGATAAGAAGCACCTGCACATGCCATCCAGATAAGCCTGTACATAGCCATCCACATAAGTTCAAAAAAGAGCTACATTGTTCAACTTCTTCCACAGGCTCTTCATAAGCACCAGTAAGCAAGCTCCTCCACGAGCCTTACCAACTGCTTAAGCAAAGTAAACAAGAGACTCTGAAGAAAAATGTCAGTCTTTCAACAAACTGGGAATCATACTTTATCGTCGACTTTGGTCTTTCTTCACGCAACCTCAGCTGCCGTTAAGGTTCTCTTTCTCTCTCTGTCTCTGTCTCTCTTTCTATCTGTCTATCGATCTCGGTCTCTTTCTCTCTCTCTATCTATCTATCTATATCGGTCTCTCGGTCTCTGTCTCTCTCTCTCTATCTATCCATCTCGGTCTCTCGGTCTCTCTCTATCTATTATCTATTCATCCATCTCTCTGTCTCTGTTTCTGTCTGTCTCTGTCTCTTCCCTCTCTCTCTCTCTCTCTCTCTCTCTCTCTCTCTCTCTCTCCTCCTCTCCTCTCCTCCCTTCTCTCCTCCTCTCCCTCCCTCCCTCCCTCCCTCTCTCTTCCTCCCTCTCCCTCCCCCTCCCCTCCCCTCTCTCTCTCTCCTCCCCTCTCTCTTCCTTCCCCCTTCCACCAAGAGGGGAGGGAACCGAGAGTGAGGGGCGGGGCTGAAAGCTAGGAAGAAAGTTCTCATCTGCAATAATTTACAATCCCATGACAAACCTTTCCCCTTGACGCTCACCTCGGGAAAGGGGGAGACTCCGCTGTTTTTTGGGGGAAATTCTCGTTTTCTATAAAGGCTTCGAAAAGGGGGGTGGGGTGGGGGTAGGGGGGGGTAGGGGGGGGTGGGAAAGGAGAGGGGTGGGAGGGGGGGGATTGGGGAATTGGTTATCGATTCTCTTGTTCTTCTTCTCCTTCGTTTCTTTGGCTTTGCGAGGATTATTAATGGTTTGTGCGGATTTTTTATTTTTATTTGGTTTATTATGCGCTTATCGTTTCATTTCTTTATTTATTGTTGTTGTTATTTTTATTAATGATTATTATTTTTGTTATTATTATTATTTTCATTAATTCTTAATATTTCTTAATTATTATCATTAATGTTATTACATTATATTATTATTATTATCATATTATTATCATTCATTGTCATTATTATTACAATGAATGGATGATTATCATTACTTTAATTATCTTATCATCATTATTATATTCCATTATTATCCTCATTTTTACTATTATTATTATCATTATCATTATTATTATCAGCATCATCATTAATATCATTATTATCATTATCATTATTGTTATTATCATTTTCATCATCATAATTCTTATCATTATCGTCATCATCATCATAATTTATATCAATATTAATCAATTTATAATTATCATCATTATCATTATTATCATTATCATATTTATCATTACTATTGTTATCATCATCATTACTACTTTTAAAAATATTCATTCTTCTTCTTTTACATCTGTTTATCTCTTCTTCCTTTATCAGTCATTTCGTTATCGTCATTAAGAATAATTATCATTATCATTATAATTATCATTATCATTATATATATCCATACATCACTTATGCTATCAATACATCAAATCATAATTATCATTATCATTATTACTAATATTATCATCAATGCTAACGCTATCAATTATCGAATTCACCCGAAAGCAGTTCACCGAACAGATTCCCCCTCCTTCCCCCCCTACCCCCACGCCCCCCACCCCCACCGCCAGGAACTCCAGGCAGGATCACACCCCACCCCTCTGGCACCCCTCGCCACGACCCAGAGACGCCCACCCGCCCGCCCGCGCCAATTGCATAACCACCGATAGCTTCCTTCGCCGCCCTCCTTGTGTTGCAGACGGAGGACAAGGAGGACTGTCGATAATTTAGCGTAGTTGGAACGGAGCGCTGCCAGAGCATGTGGTGTTTCTTCCCGGTTGTGGCGACACCCACCTGCTGTTGGTGTGGAAAAAAGGGAATCGTTGTTGCTAAAATGTTTTTTTTAAAGGTGAAAATTATACGCACGCAAACATTGCCACACACAGACACGCACGCAAGCATTCAGACACTCTCATACACACTCAAACTTACACACATTAACTCAGATTTACACACACACTCAAACTTACACACATTAACTCAAATTTACACACACACACTCACTCAAACTTACACACACATACATTCACACACACACACACACAAAACACACTTACACTCACACACACGCAAACAACACACACTCACACTTACACACACATAGAACAAACACTCACACACTCTCTCCGAACGTGAGAGCTGCTGACCTGAGCAGCCGCACGTGAGGCTTGCGCCGGGCTACCTCAACCCCCCCCCCCTACTCCTCCCTTCACTTCTCTAGCAAGGTCACGGAACTATGACCATGAAGCCTTACGCGAGCTACCTGCCTTAGAAGAGAGAGAGAGAGAGAGAGAGAGAGAGAGAGAGAGAGAGAGAGAGAGAGAGAGAGAGAGAGAGAGAGAGAGAGAGAGAGAGAGAGAGAGAGAAGGGGGCAAGTGAGGAGAGAGCAAGTGAATGAAGAGAAGAAAGAGAGAAGAGAGAGAGAGAGAGAGAGAGAGAGAGAGAGAGAGAGAGAGAGAGAGAGAGAGAGAGAGGAGAGAGAGAGAGAGAAGGGGGGAGCAAGTGATGAGAGAGAAGAGAAAGTGAGAAGGAGAGAAAGAGAGAAAGAGAGAGAAGAGAGAGAGAGAGAGCAGTGAATGAGAGAGAGAGAAGTGAATGAAGAAGAGAAAGAGAGAAGAGAGAGAGAGAGAGAGAGAGAGAGAGAGAGAGAGAGAGAGAGGAAGAGAGAGAGAGAGAGAGAGAGAGAGAGAGAGAGAGAGAGAGAGAAGAGAGAAGCAAATAAGACGACAGTCCAACAAGGAAAACTAACCCCCAAAAACCAGCGAAATGAAAAATGCAACACACACCGCCAGCAAAACCTATCGCCATTTACCCCCCCTTCTCCTTTCTCTCCCCACGATTTTTTTTTATCCAATCTCCTCTTCATCCCTCCCCCCACCCACCCCACCCCCCAACTCTCGGCGCATTTCCCGGCGTGATCTACCAGCCACCATGAGCCTCTTCGACCCCTTTGTTGTAGCATAGAGGAATTTCCGCGTATAGAATCGCGAGCATTTCCTCACCGGCCGGGGAATCGAGGTGGGAAATGCCTCAATATTTACGATCTGCAAACTCTTCCGGGGGAGAGTTGCCTGTCGGGAGTTGACAGATCGCCATATTGACCCGCAGATCATCGGTTCTGGCGGGGAGTAATTGCGGATTCCGTTAGGACACATCCGCTGTGGTTAGGACAAAGAAATAGAGGATAACGCGGAGATAAAAATGATATCCGAATAGTGGCGAATACCATTAGCGAAAAAAAAGACGTATTCACGAGTTTGAACATGGCCGGCTTAATCTACTAATATTTTATGCATTCAGTAATGATCATACAACCTTTCTTTCTTGTTGGTATTATACACGAGCAGTCGTTAAGTACAGCCTTTTGCATGACTTTGGGTGCTGATATTAGCATCAATCTATTCTCGCTTGTTTAGTATGCATATGTTCTATATAACTATAACTAATGACCTCATACAAGGAATGAAAGACTGCGCTGTGTGACGCTAGTGCAAACACTCGTAAAAAGGGGAAGGAAGGATGAAATACTCACTCTGGCACATTTGCGCACACGCACGTTCACGCACACGGGAACACGCACCTAGACGCACGTACACTCACAGATACACACATACACACATGCACACACATTACACATACACACACGCATGCACACAGACACACACATTGCACATACAATCACACATACACAGACACAAATATTCACATTACACATTACACAATCACACATACAAACACACAAATCACACACACACACAATCACACGCACTTCCCTACACCTACACACATACTCACATATCCCAAATGACACCCTTTCCCCCTCTCCCTTTCCTACCCCTCCCCTCCCCCTCCCTCCTGTGTACACGAAAGCGACACACGTTCACGCTCGCACTACATATCCAGCATTTCCTAAGACAGCTCACCCACCCGCGTGGAATGCTTGCCTCAGGGAATGTACAGACCGACAGAGTGCGGAATCGGGGAGCCAGAGGGGGGTGGAGGGGTGGGTGAGGGGCGGGGGGGTGAGGGTGAGAGGAGAAGTGAGAGGAGAGGGAGGGGGGGAGGGAGAGGGAGAGAGGGAGAGGGTGAGAGGAGGGGAGGCGGAGAGAGGAGAAGAGGGAAGAGGAGAAGGAGGAGGGGAGGGGTGAGAGGAGAGAGGGGAGGGGTGAGAGGAAGGAGGGGAGGGAACCGAGAAAGAGGAAGAGGAGGGAGCGGAGGGGTGAGAGAAGAGGAAGGAAGGGTGAGAGGGGAGAGGGGTGACGTAAGGCAGGTGTGGCGGATAGGGAGG